ATGTATGTCCCATTTTAACTGTTTATCTACAACAACTTCTAGATATTTGACGGATTCTTTGGGCTCAACGGGCTTACCACGTACGTACTCGGTATATTTACACAAACTTTTTCGTTACGATTTTAAATCATGCAGGCATGCATAGGCATACCTTGCTATTGTCATTTCATTTTTTCCTTTCTCTCTCGCTCTCTGCAAATTGATGCTAAAGTCACGTATCGAACCATATAATTAAACAGTAGGCATATTGGGGAGCGCCCGGAGTGTCAAGTCAGACAGACATGAGCAATATACAAAGACCCACTGTTGTCATTATTATTATATTCCAAAAAGGTATGAATGATAAAATCTGGAAAGTTGGGGGCTTTTATGTCTGGAGTTTTGTTCACAGATATAATATAGTCCCTTCGTATGACTGATTTTAGAAAAAGGAAATTAGAAATAATCAGTTGCAATGTCATAATATTTGCACTGCGCAAATAAGGGATCTCTGAGAAGATGAATAAACCTTGAGGTCGACATTTAAGGCATTATTTAGATCAGAAAACATATGAAATGTTCAGATAAGAACATCGGCCATCCTGCATTTGTGGTGAGATCATTACTCTTGGTACATTCATTTTTTAAATTACGATATCTTAAACCAAATCTGAGCCCGAAAACTCGCAGAGAAAATGTTGTAGAATTGTGGTTTTATTGTTAATAGTCGTTAAGACAACGGACTGTAAATCACTAATTACAGCAGAAGTACGGGAATCAAATTCTTGTATTCATTTAAATTCCACACTTGTTCGGACATAGATAAATGGGTATCGGTATTGGATAAATTCTTTGAATGCCCGAATACCAAATCATGGTAGCGAGGCTAAGCTTAATGCGACTGTACTTGTATGTTGCACAATTCATTTAAACAAATTTAATATAAAAAACATTTTTTAATGGCATTGTGTGTCAGCTATTGAAGGCTCAGCCCAGACATAAAACCGTTGGTACACGTAGTTTTATTTTCAGAGTGAGTTTTCCTTTGATGACTTTGTGCAGTACGTTTATAAGACTTAAAGTGTATTTCATCTTCTTACTTTTCAGTTCTACCGTGGATAATGATAGCTGATCAGAGAAAACCACCATGGTTCTTAATGTGTACATCACTTTGTTCGGGTATAATTATGCTGGTACGATCATGTTCTATCACATTTTCATAGGAACTGAATAGCCTCTCTATTTCATTTGTATCAAGTAAAAGTCTGATGCTGCACGCTATAATGCTTCGTTTTCAGATTGATATTAAAAAATATATATAAATATAGAAATGATCCAAAAATAGACACAACTAAGATATAAAACAATAATAAACAATAACTCCTAAAATATTTGCTTACAAAATATGACAATACAAGTTAATTACCAATGAATATAAATTTGGTTATGAATGATAAAGCCCGAGAGTTCTTGCATTGATGTGATAATTACAACGTAAGCAAAAGACAGGTACTCAAATTCATGAACTTGTTCAAGTTTATTGCACTTTTAGATTACTTAAATGTCATCTGGACGGCCATGCATTATGGTTCAAGGCATGGACACACAGGATTTGTTTATGTTGGGAACCGGGGTAAAGTGCAATAAATTATTGAAAATTTATTGCATTTTCTTTGTTTTTTTTATTTATGGAAACTGCCCCCCTACCCTAGCCCCCGCTGCATATACAGTCATGGTTCAGTGACAAAGCAATGGCCTCGTAACCGTGAGGCTCCAGGATCAAAACCGTGTCGATGTGCAATATTAGTGCCCTTTTGTGGGGCACTAATCCTCATTACTGTCATTTATGACTTAAGGACGTAGGTCCCCTAGTTGATAAGCATAGTAGCATATACATGCTTTAGCAGTCACGCAAAACACACATTGTCCAATTATTATTCAATAAAATCTGAGAATGTAATTATCTAGATCTATTATTTTTAAATTATTTTAAAAATAATTCCATAAATTGGGGTAAAACAAAAATATTCCAACTTTATGAGCGACAGTGAACATAACATTTTTGGACCGCCGAAGGAAGTTACATTTTCCCAAGGGGTTTTATTTTCACAAAAGAACATAGTTTTGACTTCCTTGCTGTCCAAAAATATTATATAACTCACTTTACCAGTCATTATTTTAGACACACTTTCTTACAAGAAATTCAGGGTAACTACTTAGAAGTTAGAAGCTAACTAATTTACTACGACCCCATGTCTTTTTTCCCGAGCCTCTAATTCTAAAGATGATTACTTTCTCTCGCAATCCTATACGGCTGAAATTACAGTAAAACTAAAATAAAACGTGTTAATATCAACACGCAGAGCAAATAAGAAACGGGCACAATTATTTAGTGAGAATTCACTGAAATACTGAGGTCATAATAATGGCAGCACAGGGGCGGGCCTGGGGACCGTCGGAGGAGGAGGGGGCCGGGGGGGGGGGGGGGAGGTGAAGAGTGCAATGATACAAGAGGTGCGTTCTCTCTCTCTCTCTCTCTCTCCATCTCTTTCCCTCCCCCTCCTTGCCATACAAGAGCTCTCCAAATTCCCAGGGTCCTTTATTTTTTCGTAGTCTGTTTATAAATCCAGACATATTCATTGTTATCGACTCAAGTGGTAATTCCTCCACTAAACACGTCTGGAAGCTACTACTTTTTAGAGGCGGGCACATTGCGAAAATCATTATGACTTACCGGTTGTAGCGCTCGTCCAAGAATACAAGTCCACGTCTACTGCAGCATTTGAACTGTCCTCATACGAATATTGATTTTTACCATCAAGAGCGCAATATGGATCAGAACAAGAACAGAACGGTAAAGTTTTAAGCAAGAAAACTAACAACAAGACACGATGTAGAGCCATTCTAACGCAAACCACGAAAACACCACTATAATTGTTGAAAATGTGCAATAACGTCCAAGATGGCTTTGTTATCGCTGTAGCGTGCAGTGAGCGATACCTAAATGGTAAATCATGTAACGTACATAAACACCTTTTGTAGACATTTTTTCTTTTTGTACGACCCTGCGCTTTTTTTCTACAATTTTCATAAATGGAAAGAATTTTTCTTGTACGTGTACATAGAGGAGTCAGAATATTCTAATTTATAAATTTGTATCTGTGAATAGGTTTTAACAAGAGGAGACGTCAGCAAGGTCGCTGTTGCCTTTTGAATTCATGAAATTATGTCAACAACTTTGTATGGAAGATCACACGGCAGCAAGGGGATTTGCTCCAAAGGATCGGATACAAAATATGTGAAAATAGTGAAAATTGAAAAGATTCTGTCCGCAAGATTTTCTATTTTTTGTGTGCAGGCTGTTGTTAAAACGCCTATTGATATTGAGGACCCTGATATTTTTAAAGGATGACCCTCTGCCAAAATCTACCACAAACACATACACACATACACACATACACACACACACACGCGCGCACACCTTCCGCATCCGACCAGCCCTAGGCGTTGGAACCGCTGTAGCTTGAAGGGGGGGGGGGGGGGAGGCAATTGCAGCCTTGGAAGCAAAGTCCTTTCCCCCCCCCCTTTTTCTCCTTCTTTCCCCTTTTTCTTTTCGTCTTCTTCTTTCTTTCCATTTCTCTCCTCATTCCTTTTCCTTTCTTTTCCTTCACACTCTCTCTCTTTCTTTTATTAACGGGAGGTGGGGGGGGGGGGCACGCTCAGCCTCCTGGATCCGCGCCTGTATTTCAGGCATCTCTTGAGCGTTTTAGAATAAACCACTCCCGCCCTTTAATGTCATTTAGTGCTTTGAATCATATCTCAACTTGATAAAGTATTATAAGAACTTTAATGGTGAAAATGAATAGTTGTTTACATTTTATTTTCCGAAATACGAACCTTCGGAATAACGAACCTTCGGGGTAACGAGCCTTCGGAATTACGAACCTTCGGAATTATGGACCTTCAGAATTATTAACCTTCGGAAATACGAACCTTCGGAAAAACGACATGTAACCCATAAATCTCAGAGAAATTGACACATTTGACACTCAGCATACTTATGATCTTAACCAGCCTGTGAATTTAAAAACAAGTCTTAAAATTGCACACATGGAGACAGATTGTGATTATTACGCAATGAAGGTGTGGCGAATAATTAAATAAATTTGGAATGGATTAATATTTATATTGATTGTGCACAGAATGGAGGAAAAAATGTATGAATTTACTTCGGGATTGGAGCGTTTCATTCTCGCTTGGAAGAATTTTAGTTAAACATTCATGATATTAATTTTAGGGGTGAATTTAAGAATTATACCCCCCCCCCCTCCATCACTATTTTAGAAAATTGGATTGTCAGATGTAAGTTGTGTCTTAATTGAGAAGTCTCGATGACACTGTGTTCCAGGATTATAACTTGTTCCATACTTTTGACTGAGTACAGGAGGTGCATTTTATTGAGAAATATACAAATAAGCTAACAATCAGACGAACGTGACTGTGATGCACATATACCACTCCATTTATATATAATTCATAAGAAAGTAAGCAAAAATGTTATGTACTTAGTTATACAAGGTTGTATCCTGACACCTACCCCCTAAACATCCACCCCCGGATAACCACCCAAGTCAACTACCCCTTGGACAACTACCCCCAAGGACAACTACCCCTATGGCAACCACCCTCTAGGATGACTACCCCGGGACAACTACCCCCGTACAACGACCCCCAGACAACTACCACCCGGATAATTACCCCCTAGGATAGTTGTCCGGGGGTATTTGTCCTAGAGGATGGTTGTCGTGGGGGTAGTTGTCCAGGTGGAAGTTGTCCGGGGGTTAGTTGTCCTAGGGAGTAGCTGTCCGGGGGTAGTTGTCCCAGGGGGTAGTCGTCCTAGAGGATGGTTGCCCTAGGGGGTAGTTGTCCTAGAGGGTGGTTATCCGGGGATGGATGTCCAGGGTGTAGGTGTCCTAGAACCACACAGGGTGCATCAACTATATATATGCATCAATTAACTATATAGAGTATATTTCTTTTCAAAAGGCAGTCTTCTTTTTTTAATCCTCCCCCAAAATCTGGATGAGGTGTTTATAAACATTAAAACGGGAGTATATGGCACGTTATGGTTGAACCTTTACCAAATGGCGAATCAGGGCTCGCTTTACTTTAAATCAGCCGTTTGGAAAATTAATCCTGATTAGTTCTTCCACTTGAAGACGACTGGCGTCAACACAACCGAAAAGCCTCTATAGGCTATAGTTAACTTTTGTACAAAATGACCCCCAAATATCTACAGAGGTTTTTTCACATGGAGACGTCCATCTCTGTGCATTTTAGGATAATCACTGCCAAAATGCTGGTGGTGCTTCATGAATACCCTTTGTTTGCCCGCTTGGACAGCATAATTCCATCTATGTATGATCATAGAATGTACCACCGGTGCATAAGTGAATGGTGATTACAGAACTTTAATGAACACGTATCCAGCAGTCGATGGTTTTATATTTTTGTACAAATGACCTTTACCTGCCGATGCGCAGATAGGATCTCCGAAGTGGCTTATAATGTACATTTATTTATGCATTATTAATACAGAAACACACCACTTTATAATTAGATTCCTCCATAGTTTCCGCCATCTTTTCAAAGCCCTAAAGCACCGAATCTTGCAATAATCATCTGTAATGGCCTCACAAGTTATCCGCTTATATCTTGTCTTTTACTGCTCTCGGCCTTTCTATCACTAGATACTGTATTTTTCAGTCATCAAGGAACGTTGACAAGGACCATTGGCCCTTCAAACCAAATCAACACATTCCATTAGTATAGACAAAAGTATAGGAAACAAACACGAGGGAAAGTAGGTTTGATCATGAGGCAAAGAATATTTCCGATCATCTCTAAACTTTCCGGGAGGAATTCCAAACAAAGTATTCTAATCTACGGGTTGTCTAAGTCTAAGTCACTGAGAAACTCTTAGACTTGTGTAGCTGACGGGGCTGAACCCGACGCTGTTATCTTTTTCCTCTCCCTGTCTCTCGCCCGACTGGTTCCCGTAGATTGGGTTCCTGTGTTACTCGTACTTCTCCCTTCTGACTTGGATTCACGGATTCTCTTTCGCCATAGACCCCTGACCCGTTGGTTAGCGCCGAAGAAGACGAAGACAAAAACCCCTTGCAGAGAGCTGGTGATGATGAAGATTGTCCAAACAGCAGCAGCCTGGGCAAACGCAGCGATGAAACCAAAGGACCATCCAAAACCAAGCAGGCATGATATCTGAACGGTATAGGAAGGAGTGACAATGTGATGGTGAATTAAAAGGGGAGAGAGACGCATAAAAAGATAAAAATCCAACACAAATAAGTTTGTGTTTGAGATTACAGACAGACAAAATACATGACTTGTACAGGAGTATAGGAGGCGGCAGTATTAGAAATAGCATGTATATTGGAAGAAGTATATAGATACAGCCATGCTTTAGGAATAATTCCCATCACAAATAAGAAATGAGAAAAACTAGAGACAAAGATGTTACCATCGATTAATACTTCAGTTGTCCGGGGGTAATTTTCCCAGATTATTAATCAAGGTGAAAATTGTCCGGGATATTCAACCAATGGTGAGAGTTGTTCAGTGATAGTCTGTCCGGATGGAATTGTCCAAAAGTAATTATGCTATGTCATGAAATGCCCATTCAACAAAGTTGGAAGAAACATAATAGTGTTTGTGACTCTTGCATTTGTATGATATGGTTTTCTAGTAATTACTGTATTGCCTGGCAAGGAATATTTATATACCTCACTTAAGAAATCCAGCCATCTGATTGGTCGAAATTGCAGTCATGGTTTTAGCCATTCCCGTAAATAAACGAAAAATGCCACGCCCATGTAATAGTTCGAGGGTAAAATTCAAGTTACCGGGAAATAGTTCAGTCTTGCTTAAAAACTGGTTTGAGCGATCGCGGATACCATACGTGTACGTGTGCGAAGAATTGGTCGCTAGACAGCAAGAACACCAAAAGGGTAGGCCCTACGTGAATGAATTGGTCTTATTATTAGCCGTATATCTAGGTCTAGATATAGATTGTGATTTTATTGCTTGCGATAACGGTGATACAGGTATTGAAGATTGTATAATGCAAGTGTTTGAATTCCTTTGATGAATGAAAAGTTGAATTCTACGCCATTTTGTGCGTTATTGCAGCGCTGAATTTGGTGTGTTTGTCGCTAATTTCTGACAAATTTAGATAGCTTTCCTGATGGTATTTCATGCAAAATTTCTGTTATATTGATAAGCACTGATTCTTGTCCTTACCTTTGGCTTGTTTCTTGTCTGTTATAGTCATTTAATAGATGAATTACGTCAATTCTGAGCACATTTCAGTAACACAAAAAATCCAGCCCGTTCATAGTCCCACACACGTATTGTATGTACCTTGTGCCTTACACTGCTTAGTCAGTTAGTCTGCTGTCTCGATAGCGTAAACAAACTTGATTATCATGATTGGTAAGTCGCCCATGTATTCTATGACCCCTTTCGGTATATAAAAGTATTAGGACTGCTTTAATTTTTGAGACATAGTATAGTATTAATGACTGCTTTGAGAGAAATAGTTGTTTTATTACGCTCAAGGGAAGGTTAGAATTGTGCTATTCCCCGAGGCTTGCCGAGGGGAATAGCCCAATTGTAACCTTCCCGAGAGCGTATGAAAACAACTATTTCTCGAATATTAAAGCAGTCATTAATACTTTTAAATGCCGAAAAAAAATAGACTAAAAAATAAAAAATAAAAAATAATTTACATTTTTGTCGAAGACGGGATTCGAACTCTTGCGTACAACAAGAGGTGTATCGAAAACCAACGCTTAGACCACTCGGCTATCGCGCGCCGTTAACATGCTTGGCAGTTTTCTCCAATATATACATTAAAATGGATTGAAAACGGCTCCGCGTGAGGGATGCTTCGCAAAAGCTCCATGAAACGGACCCTTCTTTTACTTTTGCAATGCATATTGGCACGAACTTAGATCAAGATCTATCGGCAGATGTTGTTTTTTTGTTTTTGAGAGTTAATTTTCGTCTTCATGTCAACAATGCAAGATAAAATTGTCGGTAAGATCGATCGAGATTCAATTGTATTGAAATTGCCGGCGACCAATTTTTCGCACACGTATGGTATCCTCCATCGCTCAAACCATTTTTTAACATGTAAACCTATGGGGTAACCATGGAGACTGACCTATTTTTTTAATAACCATGGTTATTAAAAATATTGAAATGTTTTAAGCATGGTTACCGGGAATTTTACAGGAACAGTTGAAGTTTATGAATGCAATTCGACCAATCAGATGGCTGGATTTCTTAAGTGAGGTATATAATTGTTTTTATACGCTCTCGGGGAAGGTTACAATCGAGCTATTGCCCGAGCTATTGCCCTCGGGCAATAGCTCGATTTTAACCTTCCCTTGAGCTTATAAAAACAACTATGTCTCTCAAAGCAGTCATTAATACTATAATATGACCTGTGTGATTCTACAAATTCGTTGCTCTTATTAAAACTGTGGATGAGCGGTGTGGTTAGTATGGTGCTTTTGTTGTCTGGAAGGACTTAGCACAGCAGCTTCGTCTGGATTCCATGACAACCAGAGACATCATGCAGTTTGTACTTGTTTTTATGTATTCCATAAACCTTGTGCTATTTCATGTTTGTATTCTGCATTCGGAAGTTAAGCCATTCTTACTTCGCAATATTTGGGATGAAAGTGTTTTTGTTTCTTCCAAGTTTTAAGTAAATTCAGCTGCGTAAAATTAAAGATAAAGACCAGTTATGGTCATGCGATTGCATTGTGAAAGAAACGTTGTGGAATCTATCAGAAAAGGTTGATCATCTAGCATATAAGTATTGGTGTGTACTGCGAGGTTCTGGAATCAAAATAATAAGAAATTTAGCCCAGTCTTGATAATTACAAGCACTGTACACAGAAAGATGTATAGGGGACTACCCCTCACGTGCGCGACACGTGCGTTATATCTATCAGGTTCAAATAGTTATAACAATTTAACGAATATATTAATTAGTAGGCGGTTTCTCAGCAAAATTTGTATAATCACGTATTGGTCCAAACATATTCTTTCACATGATTGGTAATAAGAGCTTCCATTTCATTTTTTGAGAGGGGGGCGTTTCCAAAACTGGTCTTTACCTTTAAGTTCATACTCATTGGCATGGGCGTAAATCTGCAATTGATACCTGTTCAGAGGGGATGATCTATTCATTCATCCCCCCCTGAACAATAGGTATTACGTAAGGATTTACGCCCATGCTCATTGGTGATAGGTGTTCATGTTTTAATACATAATAATGGCTCGTAGATTATGAACAAACCTTAAAGTGGACTACCAGTTCGTGGAAGAGCTCCTTCCATCGCTCATGAGCACCTTCGTGCAGAGCACTTGAATCACGTTTGCTCTTGTGAACACCGTAGGCAGTTAACGAAAAGAGAACGATGTTGACGAGGAAACTGACGGCGACAGGTACCAAGAAAGCCAACACGATAGCCCTGGCTTGGTAGATCCAGCACGATGTCCCGATCTTGCCGTAGCGAAATAGCGAAGGGTTCTGAACTTGTACAATCAGACAGGGAACGACGATGACGAGAGGAAGACACCAGCCGATGGTAAGGTAGACGACCAGACGTCTCTTCTTACCATTTCTCTTTGGTAGGAAAGATGAGGATGCGAAGTGACGAACAAGATCCCACGCCAAGATGTTCGTCCATGTGAAGACAGCGAGGAGGAAATAATGAGTGATGGTAGCTGCTATCGTACAAACAGTTGGCAAAGATATCATGTTAGGAGCGATGAACTGGAGCATCACCTATGGAAAAATAAGAATATTTATGATCTTTTACAATCTGCATCAAGAAATCTTCGACAGGTCATTGCACGCAACGTACGAGGGATAGTGAAATGTATTTAAGTAGAAACTGTAACAAACGAACTTGGCATTTAACAAGGTTGTCAATTTCGAATATACGGTACACGTATCTCAAGAAAAATTTCAGAATTTGTAGACAAGAATGGAAAACTGAAATCTGCAACTGCACTGCTCCTGTTTTCTTTATTATCTAAACTCAAACTTGAGAAGTTAAATCGAGGTACAAGGCCAAGTAAGTCAGGGGTCTTTGTCGAGAAATTGCATTTTGTCGGCAAATTAATTTAAACAAAATAAAGGCACACAGTCCTGGCACTAACCTGCGCAACAAAAAAGGCCGACACAAAGCTCATGATGGATAGGCCTTGGAGATTCCTCAGAGATTTGAAGATACAGTACGTGAGCAACGTCGCCAAGAGACAGACGGAGGACAGTATAGCGAGTATGAGGTTCAGTATATTCTGCCCTTTGGAGTACTCGAACATGCCGACAGGTTCTGGAGGATCGGGTCCAGTCCAGCAGAGACGGACAGAGCCATTCAGGTAACGAATGTAGCTCTCTGGAGGAAATGAGATTTCCTGGTATATCTGAGAGTGACAAGATATTAGAAAGTATGACGAAAATACCGCATAATGTGAATTGTTTTTATGAAGGGAATAAATTACTGTTGGGGTGGTTAACTTATAAGAGCAACAGTTTTCTTTAATATTTCGCACGGGCTACAATCCATGAACGTTTAAGATCATGTTTAATTAGACACTGGTGTATCATGACTTTGTAAAAGAAATCAGGTATGACATCGCTAGTTTGTCAGCTTTAATAAACTAAATAAAAAGGTATTTTGCACCTACCAAGTATGTAACATTATCTCTCTCATTTTCGGTAATAAGAGAGTTTCCAACAACGATGTACGCGCAAGAGTCGATGTTAACAATATGTCCGTGAAGCGAGAAGGACTGTTCTATGGAGAATTTCCACTCCCTTGAAAGACGTCTGTAATAAGTATTATTTTCCCAGTACAATGGAGTCACAAAGGTGGTGTGATTGTACATGATGTACGTTGTTCCATTGATGAGCACAGGTTCAAACAAGTCGATATCGTCGGATATCCAAGAAAGATTGACATTGTTGCCAGTGGACAGTTCATGTTCAATGTCACACATTTCATAAACGATAATGGTGTTGTCCCGACAACAGTCTCCCCGCTTCTCCCCCAGTATGCTTTCCGTGAAGCCTTCTAGTTGGGTCTTTTGCGGTACGATGTTTGCTGGAAACATCATGAAGCTTACTTTACTTCCGTCATATTCCTCTTCCTTCAGTTCATAGATAGTGGTATTGGGATAGTTGTTGTATGTCTGAATCTTCAGGATTTCGAAACCATCGAAGCACTGCAGAGATCCGTTGGTGATGACACCCAAGATGATTTGTCTGTTCCTGCAATCAGGCCAGGAGCCGACCTCTGGAACGCATTCAGTACCAGACAACTGAAGACCATTCATGCATTGCAGCTGAGGGTATATGTAGGTGATATCGAAGACTACCAGGCTGTAAGGAAGATAAGTCGGAATAGTGTTGCCTTTGGAATTAAATTCACAGTTCCTTCTAAGACTGGAACTGTTGGCAACAGAGACTCCGTTGCATTCTGCACAATCAATGTTCTTGTAGATACTACCGTTGATTATCACTCTCTCCGTTTCGTTTAAACACGGCACGCCTGCTCCTGTTTGTGAATCACAATGCGATATAATGGCACTGTCATGGAAACACCAGCGGATAGGTGGAGGGGCGCTTCCATTGACTAAAAATGGCCGTCGTCCACAAAGATTGCTCTCAGTTTGTCTGTTGTCCAAACAAGGTGTGAAAATGATGTAAGGGGTGAGTTCCGATGAGTTCACGCTGTGGCAAAGAGCGCAATACCTGTTGCGGTAGAAGATCTCCTTGGAGTCAAAGAAGACAGTGTCATTCGCAAGCGGCTGCTCACATCTTTGTACCAAGTCAAGGTCTGTCCTAGCTGAAGATGGACATATGCTCACCACAAGGACATCACGAATGCAAGCCGTTGACCATTCAATACCAATCGTGAACGAGGTACAACTCCAGTATTGCTTTTCTGGGAAGAACTTGGCCTTCATTGATCGCATAGACGCGTTCTCGTTCCTATGCCCATAGCAACAATCTTCAAAATGATCGCAGTCGGAATCACAATTGCAGTAGAATTCAGGAGAAAAGCTTGAATTCGTCTGGCATCGTTCGATTGTAAAAGAGTAAGAAAAGCAGGTGTCAGCATCTGCAAAGTGAAAAGAAATTGTAATTATGAATCGTACAGCTTTATTTGCGTGAAGAGGCATATAGAAGGAACACAGAACATTGACAAAAAGTAATGGTGATGATGTTGAAAAGAGGTTTAACAAACAAAAAAGTGAAGAGAAAGGATTTATAATGTCGAGCTTGGATTGCCTAAAGTTATGACCTGAACAAGGCCCTATCTCTGGAACTGACTTATATTACCTGAAACGAGACAGTTTACCAGCAGAAAGACTTCAACGCTAATACTAATAAACTACAACTAAGTCATGCCATCATAACCTCGTATTGTTAGTGCGGGGGGGGGGGGGTCATCACTATTTTATGTTGTATAATATATCTGAATTTATAGGAATATAATTATAGGAATGAAACAGAACAAACGAATGCATTTCCAAATTCAGGTCGTTATTTTGATTATAAAAGTCACACAAACATGATGGTACGACCGTACGTAATCAACGTGCGTTGTTTTTATCAAGCAATTTCCTTTAGGGCCATACTGGTGATCATTTTTTTTATTAAAGAAAAAAGAGTTAGTATTAAGCAAATAATCGGCTTGCATATTAACCATTGATCCTTCTCATATTCAGCATTGTCACTTACCGTTCGGACAGACGATGGATGCCGAAGGAACTTCGTCATTAGACCCTAAATAGAGAGTAGAAAAAAGGAGAATGGTACAAAACAACTGTTATCGTCTTTATCCATTTTTACAGTACTTCACTTATATTAAACTGTTTAAACCATTAGTTAAAAGCTGGCTACATTACCCCTTATGATGAGGTACTCTACAGTTTAACCAAAAATTGTCTCGTTTGTATCTGTATCAGGCGCGGATCCAGGATTTCTTAGGGGAGGGGGCCCAACTTTTTTTTTTTTTTGCTCCCGAAAATTTGAAAATCGCGCCGGCCGAAAAGTCGCTCAGTGGGGGGGGGGGGGGGGGGGGGGGGGGGGGGGGGGGGTAAGCAGACATTTTTTGTTGTTGTTTTGTTTGAGTCCCAAAAAAAATCGCAACGACCCAGCCAGCCGAAAAGTCGCTCAGTGGGGGGGGGGGGGGGGGGGGGGGGGGGGGGTAGTGAGCACAATTTTTTTTTTTGGTCCTCGAAAATTTTAAAATTTGAGCCCCCCCCCCCCCCTTGAGCGCCAGGGGGAGGGCCCAACCCCCCAAAAAGGTAAAAATCGCGTGATTTTGCATGATTTTTTTTCTCAAGGGGGGGGGGGGGGGGGCCCAGGCCCCCCCCCCCCCCCCCCCCCCCTGGATCCGCCACTGATCTGTATTCCTTTTAGTTACTGCAATGAGAGGAGGTTACACTCACTACTCCTGTTTGATGTACCATGATTATGTACCTGCAAGTATAAGCTTAGACGTTTAACCTTATTAGGAGAATGTGATCAGGCCATAATGGTCCATGTTCCCTTGGCCTGTATACATAAATTATCTGGTAGTTTTATTTTCAGAGTGTCTTTCCTATTCTTACTTTTCAGTTCTAGCTACCGTGGATAATAATAGTTGGTAAGAGAAAACCACCATTTTGTTCGGGTATAATAAGCTGGTACGCTTATATAATATCACATTTCATAGGAACTGAAAAGCCTCTCTATTTCAATTGTTTCAAGTGAACGTATAATGCCACACGGTATACGGATTGTTATTAGATCGATACAAAACAAAAATATATTAATAAATAAATTTAAATAATACGAAAAATAGACAAACCTAAAATAAAGAACAATAACAGGCTATATACCATGCCTCCTGAAATATTCTTTATAAAATATATAAATACAATTAAGTTATACAAAGTAATATTTACATGGATATGACTGAATAAACCAATATAGTTCTCGATAGTTCATTGCGTAATGCATTTATGTCACAATTCCAACGTAAGCAAAAGACAGGTACTCAATTTCATTAACTTGTTGTATTTTTTTACACTTTTGAATTACATAAATTTGTAGATTTTTTTCTTCATCTTTGAACGAGTCCAAAATAACATGCAATGCATTTTTTCTTTATATAGAGCATGGATTTACTAGCGTAGAAGCTCCATGGTATACCTGTAAAATTTAAATGTTATCAGTGTCCTAGTATTCAAAGTGTGCAAGGAAATCCGTTTACTCTCTAGACTTCACTGTCAGACACTATTGAGTGACTGACTCCTTTTTTTCATTGGTAATAACATGTTGGAATTTAACCTTTCCATTTGTTTTGGCCTGCAAATGGGACATAGTTCTTATATGAAATTCAGGGTAACTGCGATCTTATGTCTGTTCTCTTTTTTCTCGTGCCCCTAAAGACGGTTACTTTCTCTAGCAGTAGGCCTAATACGGCTGAAATTACGGTAAAACTAAAATAAAAGGAACACGCATAACAGTGTGAATTCACTAACGTACTGAGGTCATAATAATGGCTGTATATAGGGGGAAGCAAGAGAAGAGTGCAATGATATAACAGGTTAGGCCACTTTGAATGTGCTTTTCAAATATGGTGCGTTCTGCATAGCCCCTCTCTCTATCTCTTTCTCCCTCCCTCTCCTTGCCATACAAGGGCTCTCCAAATTCCTCTCCAGGGTCCTGCCAATATTCTTAGTCTGTTTATCCAAACATCTTCATTGTTAGCGACTCAAGTGGTAATACCTCTACTAAACACGTCTGAAAGCTTCCACTTACAAGAGGCGGGCACATCGCGAGACTTATTTTATAACTCACCGGTATTAGTGCTCATCCAAGAATTCGAGTAATCGTCTACTGCACCCTCCTCATAAGAATACTGATTTTCACCATCAAGAGCGCAATAGGGATCAGAACAAGAACAAAACGGTAATGTTTTAAGCAAGAAAACCAACAACAAGACACGGTTGAGAGCCATGTTAACGCAAACCGCTGAAAACACTCACAATCGTGAAGATGTGCAAACTGAAATGTGCAAGAACGTACAAGATGGCCTTGTTATCGCTGTAGTGAGCAGTGAGTGATAGCTTATCAAATAAAGTTAATGGTCGATCCTGTTACAATGTAAAAAGTCTATCACTTACATAGATTTTTTGTATACTACTGTCTTGTTTTCTTCTTTTACGACCCCGTGCTTCAGTTTTGTACTGGTATTTACAATTTTCATAAAACAATAGAATATTTCTTGTACGTATACAGAGAGGAATCAGAATATTCTAATTTATACATTTGTATCTGTCAATAGGTTTTAACAACAGAAGACGTCAGCAAGGTCGCTGTTGCCTTTTGAATTCATGAAATGTCACCAACTTTGTATAGAAGATCACACGGCGGAAAGGAGAAATGCTCGAAGGGAGATAAATATTGAAAATTGAAAATATTTTGTCAAGTTTTTTTTTTTTTTTTTTTTTAGGCTCATGCTACAACATGATAATTAATACCTATCACCCTTGGCATAAAATTTATAAATCTGATGAGTTCATTTTTATTTCTTTTTTGTTGGAAAATTTTCAGTTATAATTTGGTACGAGGTACACCCACGACCCCCTTTTAAAACGAGTCTAACTCCTTAGGCGGCGGTAAACAAATATATAATGACATAACTGACGTCCTTAAGCAAGACATTAAAGGGTGATGGTCGTCAGTCTCCATTTGCAGAAGGTCATCATTCGCTGACACCAGACTTGGTGGAAATATAAAGGGTGTTCAAGTCCCGCACACAGCAAAATATAAATTTCAACAGGGACAAATTTTCTGGTTTTACTATTTACTGCATAGGACCGTGAAATGGACTAGAAAAGGAAGAAGTTTTAGTTGTTGTTGTTGTTGATTTTATTTAGACACGGTTAAAAACACACTTTCAGCCAAAAAGGCCGTTTTTCAGTATGTCCTTGTGTGTGGTATTACACAAATGAATTTGACAACAACATTACTATACGCCTGTCGGAAAAAATACAATACAAACGTATTTCAAAACATATATAAGGCATTACATGGGCCCATAACTAATTGCTTAGTTACAATTATGGAGTTTTATACATATAGCAGAAGGAAAGAGTGATAGAGATATAGGATACCTTTCAAAGTGAAGAGAAGTAAAACAAGGAAGGGGCAACAAAAGAGTAGTCAAAGATAGTAAGAAAGAAATACATCATTTACAATACATAATAATATTGGGTAAAAAGCATTACAAACATTACAAACATTTTTTAAATGGCATATTAATGATTGCTTCCGTTATACTCTTGAGCTACTCTAACAATTTTTTTTATAATTTTGCTTATCACGTGAAAGACATGGCGATTGATGATATAATTTGTTACTGGCAAAAATGCTACCCAATCGCATAAAATTTGTTTTAGGTTTACCAATTTACAAAGTGTAGTCTGAATTTCTAAGGCAATATACGTTTTCTTTCCAAATATATCCGGGAGCCTAACGAATGCGATACGAATTTGTGGAATAGTTTAAAAACAAAGCATATAGCTTTTTTTTCTCCAAATGGAATTCAAGGCGATCAATATCCAAATATTAAGTATATAAGCTGGGAGCTAAATCCGGTATCAACTTTCAGAACAATGCGCAAAGCCCGATTTTGTAATACTTGTAACTGCTTGATTAAAACTATATCAGCATTGTACCATACGATGAAACAGTAATCAAAATGAGGTTGAAAAGGTTCTTTATACAATATGACAGCAGTTTTCTTGCTCACAAAATGCATAATTCTTTTCAAACAATATAAATTATAAATTATCTTTTTCTTCAGAGATGGAATATAGATATAGGCGTCCCAACTTAAAGAAGGTGTTAAAATGACACATAGATATTTACATTCATCAACCCGTTTTAAAGACTTTCCAGTTTTCATCAAAAAGACGAGCATTTTCAAAATATGATAATTTTTTTCTTTGCTCAAATAGCATAAATTTAAATTTCATTGTATTCAACAACAATTCATTACACTTCAGCCACTTTGAAATCAATGATATTTCTTCATTTGGGCAAGAACATCCCGGTTATTAGAAGCATAGTAAAGACATGTGTCATCAGCATATATTATGAAGACATTGCGCTATGCATTAGTAATATCATTAAGAAACTCGGAATGAACAGCAATGTAACAAAGGCGGGACATGATTTACTCCAACTTACAATTGTAATTTGTTTTCTTAAAGAAAGATAATCTTCAAACCATCTTTTAAGCTAAGTGACAAGACCAACAATGAAACCATTGTCCAATTGTTGACGAATTTTTGTCTGTAATTATAACAAGTGCTGATTTAGTAGAATATTTGGGACGAAATCCAAATCGATTGTCAGACAAAATTGAATTATCCGTAATATATCTATAGACTTGTGTGAAGACTATCTTTTCGAGAACTTTGGACAAAACTGGAAGGACTGAGATAGGTCTATAGTAATTCTCGAGGATCGGTCATGCTCCTATCCTTATACAATTTAGTTATTTTTGCAGTTTTCCAATCTGGAGGAATCGAAGCATTTGCCAAAGACAAACTAATAATATGCGTAAGATACTGAACAACAAATGGCAAAGAATCTTTTAAAACAGAAGTTGGTAAACAATCTAAACCTTGAGCTTTACTCTTTGGAATGTCTTGAAAAATCTTTAAAACATCATTGCAAGATACTTGATGAAAGGGAAACAGATTTAGAGTCAAAGCGATTTTCATCTTTCAGTTGAAAAAGAAAGTAATGTATAATATTAGCAATTTCTTGGAATCAGTATGTTTATAACCATTTTGAACAAAACATTTGAGGCCACTGCGTGCCTTTAAATTTGGTAAAATTTTACTACGCAACAATTTCCACATTTCTGCACTGTTACCATTAGCCTGAAAAAATATTAGCTGTGATATATACTCTTTTCGCCCTACATATATAAGAAGTAACCTTTTCTTATAATCATTCCAATCGGAGGTTTCCAGAGAGATATGTGCTCCTTGCAAGCATCCCTTTTCCGCATCAAAGAAAATGATATTATAATAAATCCATCGTTTACTATTTTTTCTAACTCGTTTGAAATTTAGAGGGGCATGTTAATTTAAAATGATTTTTCGAACAAATCAACCAAGTTTCAAAACCTGTCTATTTATCATTTTCGGAAAGAATGTTAAACCAAGATGCATACTTTAGATATTTGTAAAAAAAGTTCGAAATTCCTTTTATCAAAATCTCGATACGAGATGTATTTATGTCTTGAAACAGGTGACTTTGTTTTGCCAACTGCAGCAACAATAAGTGGTCACTCAATGAAATGGGTACAACGTCACAAAACTGAAAATTTTCATCATTTGAAGAAAACAGTAAATCAATTGTAGAAGAAGATGTATTAGTTATTATTTGTTTCCTTGTTTCATTTCAAAATCACTTGCCAACAAAAGCTATCTTTTTGTATGGCAAGAAGGTGGATTCTTCATGACATCACATATCATATCACCAGTTACAATAAAATCAACTGATTGTGTATCTAAAAATTACAAAAATCAAACTGATCTAAAATTTCTTTATTAGAATCTTGGGGTCTATACCATACAACCACATACAAAGGTTTTTGTTTATCGACATGTATTCTAGCACACAATAGCTTCAAATTAACTTCAAAATGTTTTTTTCCAAAGTCAAAGGTATATCGAATTTCGTATATAAACCCCACCACCATTTCGGTTTCTATTCATTCTCACAATATTGTATCCAGAAATGGAACCTTCAAAATCTTGTATCACTAAAAGTTAGAATATCAAGTTTAATGGAAACAGCATCCCATCTATTATGTCATGATTTTTTAAAATAATGAACATATATTTAAGTGGCCAATTTGACCTTGTAAGAATTTAGATTTTCATACACAGTATCATAAAATATAACAAGTTTATCGTTTTGGGCTTTGGGTGCTTCATCCTTAAGGTTTATGAAATTAAAAGGTAATTCACCGAACAAGTATTTATCACACAGCCAATCGGTATCCGAGTTAAAGAAGTTAGTACTGAGTTTAGAACAATTTAAATGAATCCATCTATTACAACAAACACATAAAACAGCATTTTCGTTATGGGTAACTGAGTTAACTCACATGATACACGGATATTTTTGTAACCATTGACGGTAATTTAATACTATCCACTTTCTGAAAATTCTAGAGTTTTTATGAATCAGTGTCCGACATAATGGCCCGAATTTACAAAGAAGGTTTGTCGACAAAGTACCTAAAAAGCGCGTCGAAACGCGTCATATGACGCACATAAACCTAGGTTTGTCGACAAACTTCCTTTGTGAATTCGGGCCAATGAGTAGGCTGTTTAAAATGTACCAATTTAATCTTTTTACCACGCTTGTATTGAATTTATAGGAAATTTGTACACAATTACAGCTGTATTTCTGGAAACATGTGCAATGTGTTTATGGATTTTAGTTACAGAATCGATGTCTTATATTTGATATTGCTAGTTTTTTACATGTATATATTTAAAGGTGTTATCTATTGTGCCGAACATGTAAACATGAATATTCCAGCCATGGCTGTTCTTCATGTAAAATTGTATTTGTATGAACCATGTTTGTGCTATAATAAAAACCATTTTTGAATTGAATTGAATTGAATGAGTACATTTCTGTCATCCTTGATAAGGGCGGTGAGGGTCAGTGAACTATTTAGATAAACCAAAAAACTAGTCACGTAAAGCTGGTGAACACCTGTGGCCTGGTCACGAAATTCAATATTTAACGTTTATTTTTGAAGGTGGGTATATATATATATATATATATATATATATGCCTTGGCGATGTAAAGTGATCCATTAGTTTATTATAACGTTTATTTTGGAAAAACGTTTATCACTTGTCTGATGAATGGATTTGCAATGGATAGAATGGCTTCGAAACGCGTGATTTTTCTGCTATTCTTACTAAAAATATCATCATTTTGTGACTGTTCTAATTTAGATCCGAATTTTGGTTCTGATGCCGGAAACACGTCCTCATCGGGTCTGAACGGGTTCGAGATTCGACTGCCCTCGTCTTCGTCCTCGTCTTCGTCCTGGTCTTCC